ACTTCAGATAGAAAAAACCCTCAGAGGGGAGGGCTCAATTTAATTATTACCCTTTTCATTTTATTTTTTATTTCTTTCTATTTATTTTTTATTTTTTTTTTAATTACACTCCATATTGTTTGAGAAAATTTTCATCTTCTTTGTTCCAACATTTTCCAGCAATGAAAACGATAACATAACCTCCGAAGATTGCTTACGTTTTTCTGTCACTTCAACCGGCTTCGATACTTTGGAGCCAATAAGATGTGGAAAATTAAGCCGAGCTTTTGGGCCACGGAACTTGAAAGCCTCCCGATCATAAGCCAATGCTGCATCCTCTGACGTCTCATATGTGCCCAGCCAAATTCTTGAGCCTTTCTTGGAGGGATTCCTTATTTCTGCCGCAAACTTCCCCCACGGCCGCCGCCTCACGCCTATGTACCGCTTCCACTCTGGTGGCACGTTGATTCCACGGACAGATTCCGACTCTTCTGCCACAGTCTCATCACAGCATGATAATCTATCATCAAATATTAGTATTCCAGGGCTTTCTGCAAAAAATGAACTGTTGAAGCTTGAGTTTTGGCGGCAAATTTCTTCGTCGGATGAACTTATTTCTTTATAGTTGTCAACAGGGAAATCATCAGAATCATTTAAAAGATAATTTTGTATGTACTGAAGAAGGGCCATGTCTGAATCTGAAATTGGATTTGCATTCATTTTTGAGGATTCCTAAGTTTTGCTTACATACAATTAATGGTGTCAAATTAAGGATCTTTCCTCACTGTCCAAATCTATGATGTTTCTGGTTTATATATGCATGACAGAAAACTGAGTATTCTTCGAGTGATTTCCATGAAGGTCCATCAATCCACGTGTTAAATAATTGATATTTATATATCACATGAAAGTTATGCTAATTATTAAATACTCGAATAGAAATTTTTATTATCCGATATTTACAAAAGATTCGCTTAATTTAGACCAGTTTGGCGCCCCATTATTTCACATTATAATTTGGATTATTCTACATGTACAAAATCAATGACAAACTTGACAAGTGGTGGCCCCCTGTTGGTGGAGTGGTGGTGGGGCTAGCCGCCCCACTAACAGGGAGCCGCCACTTGTCAAATTTGTCAAACTTTTAGTAATTGATTTTGTACTTGTAGACTAATCCTTCAACCATATAATCTTTCATAAAATAATATTACACGTAAATTAAAAGATTTTCTTCATTTTTCAGCCACACATTTTTCGAAA